AATGAAGCCAAAATGTGTTAAAACGCAACTTTTAAGTGCATTTCCAAAATATGTTTTTAGGTTCATAATTCATTTCTTTATCTTTTGATACAACTTCGCCACCTATAATTTTATAAATATATATTATAATAGACTATTCGTAGAAGTAAAAAATATTACAATAATTAATCTATTAAACTTTAAAGTATGAGGTAAGTGTGCTTTTGGTTTCGTTTCGTTCGGTTCGACAAAATTAAATTAGCCCCGATTTAACAACTGCAGCTGCCTTGGAAGAACATCAAAAGAAATATTACCGTTTTTATGTTTTCAACTTTTCAGTTTTGCAATATCTTACGATTGAAGTATTGAAGTTTTAAAATAAGAAATCACGCAATAAAATATTAGGATCAAATTGTTTTAATTAGTAAAGTATATAATAGTACAGTTCAATAGCATAAATAGTCAATATTTAATTAAGACTTCGTCTAAAAAGCTTTCCTTCATCGGCACACTTAGTGGTAATACACTGCCTAACCATTCTGGGTAGTACATTGCAATTCTTAGATACGCAAGCAACGATATCTTCTATAATATTCTTGTCCAAAGGTTTCTTAGTGATCTTCCCTGAATTTAAAAATGCAGGGCTAGGGCGTCCTGATAATGAAGAATGCGCAAGAACGTCTCTGGTGAAATAAGCTTCCAATAATTGCCTTGTGGCTTTGGTGTAGTTGCCCCACTTAATAGTTTTGTATTCGTGTTCAACCATTTGGGTTCCGTTGGATCCTATTTCTATTACTTCCATGGATTGTAACCTACGTTTTTTGGATGGTTGTTCTTCAGGTACTGCTACTGGAGTTGCATCTTTTGGGACCAATTGACTAAGGTTATAGTACGATAAGAAGTCTTTTTTGTTTTCGACAAACTCACTTCTTGGTTCCTGGCATTTTGATTGGCCTTCGTTATCTGATTTGAATACTTTAACTTCTTCTTTAATTGGCTCATCCAAATCGATAACCAAAACATCATTGCAACTATCTATACTATTTGGAGTAAAACAAGCAGTACTATCTGATTTGAATACTATAACTTCTTCTTTAATTGGCTCATCCAAATCGATAACCAAAACATCATTGCAACTATCTATACTATTTGGAGTAAAACAAGCAGTACTTTCCACATTAAAATCTTCTTTGGGAATTGTTACTATTGTTACATTACTTTTAGACCTTTCTTCGTAAAGTAAAACAGATTCAGCTTTTTTCAGTAACTCACTAGAAGTAATTTCGTATTGTTGTTTCAAAAAATTTAGTTTAAGCGATTGATTTTGCAGTGCTACCTCTAAATCGTGTAGATGCAGCAGAACGAAGTTCCTTTCTTGTTTAATTTGTTCGTAGATTTTTCTTAAATCGGATGCTTCAATGGAACTCATGCTGAATGTGAGGTGGGTACAAGTTGGATTGATTTTAATTTTAGTTTAGTGTGTTTAATATTTATATTCGTAAAACGAGTATACCTCTATTAGTACCTGTCAGTTGTTTGACCTATCTTTATGTATATAATTCCAATTAATTATTTATTTAATCCTACAGGCTTTAATAAAATTATTAAAACAGGTAGGTAAACCAAGCAGAGTATTATATTTTTTTTAATATTCTACAAACAATTGTCCTATATGGTCATAAATAATTCGTTTTATTTAAACTTCAAAGCAACTTTTTAATATAAATATATATTTTTTCAATTTAAATAATTGTTTAAGTAACAAGTAACACTTTAGCACTGGATTTAAAAGAGTGTATTAACAAAAGTGTGCTAAATTAAAGAAAAAAATAATGGTGAAGCAAATTTTTACTGGTATACATACAGTTCAATTTATATAGAAATATATAACAAGATTTTTTTAAATAAAAACCCATGTACTTTTATATTGCAGTAATAATACTAAATTGTAATAAACTAAATAATAAAACCGTTAATTTAAGTTCTATTTTATTTTTAACATGTTTATTGGGATAATTATTTATTGATAATGATCTTGGGCCACTTCGCAACCCATTTTTATTGATCCCTCAAAGCGCTTTTTATGATATTGTCCCTTTTTCCCCTTAAAACACTGTTTAATTATGTTGGATTTATGTAAGGCACATTTCACAAGTTTGTTCCATAATAATTATTATGGAACAAACTTGTGAAATGTGCCTAATTATAATTATTATTAATTATAATATACAAGTATATTATGTAGGTTTAAGTTTGATAAACGCCATTTTAGTCAAGAATTTAATTTAGGCACGAGCGGGCTTGCGAGCGATTGCTTAATTAAATGAGTACTAAGAAAAGTTTATAAACGAGTTGCATACTATACTTTTTCTACGGCAAATACTGAATATTATCTAAAAAATGATTAGAATTTGAATTTCAATGCTTTAATGCTGCGGGACCAAAGTATAGATAATATTAAATCGCACATCAATTCTGACACTACGTCCATCATATAAATACAAAAGTTTTCCTGTAACACCCAGTCTGTGAAGGGGTGCGTGAAACTTGTGACAGAGGCCTCGACTAAAGTATGTGGACATGAAGCCAGATGGCTTTATCTGAGCAAAACTCAAGTCTATATCTGTTAACGCCTAATTTTTCTTAAAAATCAGACTTCAAATGTGTGGTAGGTATAAAAAAAAGTTAAAACACACACGCCAAAGATTCCTGCACTATGGAAAATATCTGAAATAAATACTAAACTTGACAATTAAATGGTTGGTTAAGTATACAATAGGGTTTGGGTGGAACTCGACATGCAAACACCAGGTGGTGAGTTCTGGGTTGTTTTGTTTTAGCAAAACGAGCAAAGAGCTGCACAGTGAAAATTAAAAAAAAAATGTAAAATATACAAAATACATTTTTTGTTTTATCACTTTTTTTCAAAACTTTTTTTAATAGTGGAAAAGCGCCGAAGCGAGTAACGCAGAAATTTAAGAGTTATCCATTAGACCACCAGAAATAACATATCTAAAATCCAGTCAGTTCTGATGTTTTCTATGCAAACCATGTTTTTTTTATACAAGGTTTCCCTGAACTTATTGGCATAAATTTGGGAAAAGATTAAGCAAGTAAAAATAAAACGAAAATCTAAATAAATATGTTTCCTAATTACTTATGTTTCCAAGATACATGGTGATAAAGTGTTACTTATCATATCAGTTTTTTTAATATAACTTCTACTATGGTAGTCTTGTAAAGGTGATATTTTGCGAACAGTCACTTACTACCAAAACACATATTCACAAATAATTAAAATTGTTTGAGTGAACACAGTGTCGTAGAAACAGGGGTTGCTTTAAGCTTATTGTCCCATACAAACTTTGAGGTTAGGTTTTTGTAACATTTGTAACATTTGTAACCTCTCAAACTTCGATAAAATAAACCGTTTCCGAGATTACAATAATTGTTATATCGCATTATTTAAAAGGATTAAAAGGTATATGATTTTATTATTTAATTGAAAAAACTAAAAACGGCATTCCATGAGCGTCGGGACTTTTTGCCCTGGACTTGCATCTTGGGACTTAACTTAGATAAGAAGTCATTTTGTTTTAGACTAACTTACTTCTTGGTTCCTGATGTTTTGTTTGGTTTTTATTATCTGATTTTATTTTACAAGAAAGGCACTTTATTTTAACAATTGTATGACATTTGACAACTGTCAACTAACTTCAAACTAACTTAAGCCCATGACTAAAAATCTGTTGCCGACTTCACCCGTGACTAAAGCGCCATAAAGCCACAACTTGTCAATGTGTGTATAAAAGGCCACTTAGTGTCATGAAAACATGTACGATAAAGGGCGTTTCAAAAGTGGTAGTGGAAAATAGTATATTATGTATCAAGTTTTATAAACGCCATTTTAGTTACGAGTTTTATTAAGCACGAGCGAAGCTTGCGAGCGAGTGTTTAATAAAAACGAGTGTCTAGAGAAGTTTATAAACGAATTGCATACTATACTTTATCTACAACGGACACAAAACAGAATTTAAAGCCAATTTTATTTGTTAAAATTTTGACATCTGTCAACTGTCACCCGAATTTAACCTCACTTTTTCCCAATTTATAATAAAGCTAACTTCAGCCCCTGACGTAAAATGTCGAAAAGCCACTGTTGTTAACTTCAGCCCGTCAATAAAACGCCATAAAGTCACAGCTCGTCAATGTAGGAGTAGATAATAGTATATTATGTATCAAGTTTTATAAACGCCATTTTAGTTACGAGTTTAATTAAGCATGAGCGAAGCTTGCGAGCGAGTGTTTAATAAAAACGAGTGTCTAGAGAAGTTTATAAACGAGTTGCATACTATACTTTATCTACAACGAACACAAAACAGAATTTAAAGCCAATTTTATTTGTTAAAATTTTGACACCTGTCAACTGTCACCCGAATTTAACCTCACTTTTTCCCAATTTATAATAAAGCTAACTTCAGCCCGTGACGTAAAATGTCGAAAAGCCACTATTGTTAACTTCAGCCCGTCAATAAAACGCCATAAAGTCACAGCTCGTCAATGTAGGAGTAGATAAATATATATAATGAGGTAGTAATTAGTGATTAATAATGGTTTACGTAGCTTAAATATGGTATGCTTTTAGGTTTTGTTCATAATTCATTACTATATCTTATAATACAACTTTGCCACCTATAATAGACGATTCGTAGAAGTGAAAAATATTACAATATTAATCTATATTAAACTTTAAAGCATGCGGTAAATGTGCTTTTGGTTTCGTTCCGTTCGGATCGACAAAATTAAATTAGCCCCGATTCATTAACTGCAGCTGCGTTGGAAGAACATAGAAAGAAATATTACTGTTTTTATGTTTTCAACTTTTCAGTTTTGCAATATCTTACGATAGAAGTATTGAAGTTTTAAAATAACATAAATCACGCAATAAAATATTAGGATCAAATGTTTTAATTAGTAAAATTAACATAATAGTACAGTTCAATAGCATAAATATTCAATATTTAATTAAGACTTCGTCTAAAAAGCTTTCCTTCGTCGGCACACTTAGTGGTAATACAGTGCCTAACCATTCTGGGTAGTACATTGCAATTCTTAGTCACACAAGCAACGATATCTTCTATAATATTCTTGTCCAAAGGTTTCTTGGTGGACTTCCCTGAATTTAAAAATGCAGGACTAGGGCGTCCTGATAATGAAGAATTAGCAAGCACGTCTCTGGTGAAAAACGCTTCCAGTAATTGCCTTGTGGCTTTGGCGTAGTTGCCCCACTTAATAGTTTTGTATTCCTGTTCAACCATTTGGGTTCCGTTGGATCCTATTTCTATTACTTCCATGGATTGTAAACTACGTTTGTTGGATGGTTGTTCTTCAGGCACTGCTACTGGAATTGAATCTTTTGGGACCAATTGACTTAGGTTATAGTACGATAAGAAGTCTTTTTTGTTTTCGACAAACTCACTCCTTGGTTCCTGACATTTGGATTGACTTTCATTATCTGATTCTAATACTATAACTTCTTCTTTAATTGACTCGTCGAAATCGATAACCAAAACATCACTGCAACTATCTATACTATTTGGAGTAAAACAAGCAGTACTATCTGATTTGAATACTATAACTTCTTCTTTAATTGGCTCATCCAAATCGATAACCAAAACATCATTGCAACTATCTATACTATTTGGAGTAAAACAAGCAGTACTTTCATTGGGAATTGTTACATTACTTCTAGACCTTTCTTCGTAAAGTAAAACAGATTCAGTTTTTTTCAGTAACTCACTTGAAGTAATTTCGTATTGTTGTTTAAAAAAATTTAGTTTATGCAATTGATTTTGCAGTGCTACCTCTGAATTATGTAGATGCAGCAGAACGAAGTTCCTTTCTTGCTTAATTTGTTCGTAGATCTTTCTTAAATCGGATGCTTCAATGGAACTTATGCTGAATGGGAGGTGAGTACAAGTTGACTTGATTTGAATTCTAGTTTAGTATGTTTAATATTTATATTCGTAAAACGAGTATACCTCTAATAGAGGTCCTCTATTAGTACCTGTCAGTTGTTTGTCCTATCTTTATGTATATAATTCTAATTGTATATTTATTTAATCCTTCCAACACAGGCTTTGATAAAATATTAAAACAGGTAGGTAAACCAAGCAGAGTAATATATATTTTTTTTAATATTCTACAAACAATTTTCCAACAAAAGTAATTGCCTTGGGGCTTTAGTGTAGTTGCCCCAGTTAATAGTTTTTAAATCTTATTCGCCCATTTGTTGTTATTTGGATTTTTTTTTCAGGTACCTACTGTTACTGGACTTGCATCTTTTGAGAATTAACTTAGGTTATAGTACCATAAGAAGTCATTTTGTTTTCGACTAACATACTTCTTGGTTCCTGATGTTTTGATTGGTTTTTATTGTCTGATTTTATTTTACAAGAATGGCACTTTATTTTAACGATTCTATGACATTTAACAACTGTTAACTAACTTCAAACTAACTTAAGCCCGTGACTAAAATCTGTTGCCATCTTCAGCTTGTGACTAAAGCGCCATAAAGCCACAACTTGTTATTGTGTATTTAAAAGGCCACTTAGTGTCATGAAAACATGTACCATAATGGGCGTTTCAAAGGTGGGAGTGGAAAAACATATTTATAATCTAGTACTTTTTCAAAGAGATTAAAAAATGTACTTAAAAATAAAGATGCCTATGGATAAATGACCAGAAAAGTAAGTTTATCCCATGTTTATTAAAATAAAACTTTAATTTGTCTCTAGAATTCATTTTACAACATATATATTTGTCAAAAAAAGTTTTAATGTTATGATTGTAATATAAAATATTAATAACTTTTTTAACGGAAAATCCACTTTACAAATTACAATTTACCTTATCTTTACAACATCTCTTAAATACTGCCAATGAGGAATTGAAAAAATCCAAATCAAACTTGTTTGCATTAATTAGAATACATTCTGTTTATTGGCATGAATTTAGCATATTCGGTTCTATGCCTTTTTATATAAAATAATTCAGGATGTCTTGTTCGTCTCATTGGTACGGTAAAACTTATTTGTTGTAGCAACTCTGGACAATTAATTAAGTTATTTAATAATTTATATAGAAAAATAAGACTAGACTCTGTCCTATTACTTAACAAATCTAAATGTGCTGCTTTTCTAACTAAATCCAAACTATATTTACATTCAATGTTTAATTTGAATCCACAATATCGCTTTGAACTTTATCAATTTTAGCACTTGAATTAACATAAAAAGGGGACCAAATTACACAACAATACTCTGGGACACTACTTACAAAGGACATATAAAAACTTTTAACACATTGAATATTATTAAAATCTTTCATACTTCTTTTTACAAATTCTAACATTTTAAAAGCGTTATTTACAATAAAATCAATATGGTAGCCAAATGTCATATTACTTTCAAAGTAAACACCTAAATCCTTGATAACATTAACATTTTCTAAAATGATATTATTTATAAAGTACGGATATACTATATAACTTTTAGTTCTATAAAAACTGATACATTTACATTTATTAATATTTAATTCCATAGAGTTTGTATCGCACCACAGTTCAGTTTGAGTTAAATCTGATTGAATACTATGACAATCATTAAAAGAATTAACTTCTTCGTATAATTTCAGATCATCTGCACATAAAAGATACTTACAGAATTTAACTCCACAGCCAATATCATTTATAAATAATTTAAATAAGAGAGGAGAGATATGTCCTCATTGTGGTACACCTGAAGTAACCCTAATTTTTTCAGACTTAAACTGATTTTGTAAATTTACTCTTTGTGTTCTTAGACTTAAGTAGCTTTCCAACCAAAAATAAAAGTTTCCAGTAACCCTTCATTTTGGCTAGTAGGACCCGATGGTTGCTTAAGTTTATTGAATTGGTATAATTAAAATCAGTTACATTTATATCACATTTTTTGCTATAAACAGAACTAAACAGATCGGCAAAAAAATTGGCTATATCTTTTGGATTCTCAGACTCCATTTTATTAGGTATTGAATTACTGGTATTTCTACTGTTAATGTAAGTCCAAAAAAATTTAGGGTTGCAGTTAATATTGTACTCTAGTGAGTCGATATAATTTTAGTAGCATTGTTCAGTAAGATTCTTACATTGGTTTCTTAGGTGGCTAAATATGTTAAAATTATTTTGACAAGGAAATTGCTTATATGTTTTATGAGTAATTTTTTTTCTACAATAAGGTTTTTAGGCTCATTTGTAAACCATACAGGAAATTTGTGGTTGACATGTTTTTTCTCAGGGACCTACAATTTATACATTTATTCTAAAACTTCATAAAACGAATTTGCACATATATTAACATTTTGACTAGAAATTATTAAATCCCAATTAATTATACCCAAATGATAATTTAAAGAAACAAAATCTGCACCTTTAAAATCGTAATAGTAATGTTCAAATTTCTTTTCTTTTTTATCTCTAAAAATATCTTTTTGCAAGCAGATAGCCGGATGGTAATTATCACAAGGCAATAAAACATCATTAGCTATCTCAGCACTAATGCTTATATCGTTTGAAAAGACAAGGTCCAGCATTTTATTGTAAATATTTTCTACAATATTAATTTGGTAATGGTTACAGTGAGCAAAACAGTCGGACGTAACAGTACAGCTTTTCGTTAAAACATCGGAGGCGCGAACTCCGAGATCTTTATTGATCCACATAATATCTGTCAGATTATCGTCGCCACAAACAATAGTTGTCACGTCGCTACACTATACTTTCGATACTACACCTTTTCCAATTGTATTTTAGAAGAGGTCAATTTTATTTCAGAACTTATTAACTTAATTTAAGAATAGTAAATTTTATTTCAGAAAGTATCAATTGTATTTCAAATTAGTCAATTATCTTTGGAAAAGTATCAATTGTTTTTGAGATTAGTTAATTTTATTTTAGAAAGTGTAAATTGAATTTCGGATTAGTAAATTATATTTAAGAAAATGTCAATTGTAGTTTTAAATAACTATTTGAAATTCCGAAAACGTAAATTGTATTTTAGAAACCATCAATTTTATTTAAGAAAATATGAATTGTATTTAGGAAAGTGTCAATTATAGTTCAGAATAACTTTTTTAAATTCAGGGTGAATTGAATCTCAGAAATAAGCCAAAATATAAAGCATGTACCACTCATCAGTCCCACTTTGACATTTGATGCGGAACGAAGCCTTTTTAAAACTTGACATTTAAGGCATTTTAGGTTATGTTTGTGTCAAAGTATAGTCAATGAAACAAATTTTTCAGTAAAATTACATGATAGGTAAACGTAAAAATATTATTTTATTTTAAATTTGTTTCATTGACTATACTTACCTACCTAAGTAAAGCATAGTGCAAAGACCACATATTCCTTTGATTTAACGATTTAACCTAACTTATCTCTATAAAGTTGAATTTTCGCTTATATCTTTTTTACAGTTAATCGAAAACCTAGTTTTAATTTTTTTTTATTTAAATAGCCAACTTAATTTGTGAACTTTTTTGTAACAGCTTTATCGGTTTCCCGAAATTAAGGGTCCAGAGTTTACCAATGCATTCTGCATACAAGAAAACACTAATTTGTTTAATAAACATGACTTGACGTTGTATCGCAAAATAAATTTAGTCAGCAAATAACCAAAGATATAATCTTTGCAAATAACCAAAATGTCACTTTTGTTCAAAGCCTTCTTCTAAATTTAAATGAATATGACATTTTTATGCTAAACAGTGTAATTTATAAATATATTTTTCCCGAAAATGGTGCATCTGAGCAGTTTAAAGTTCCATATTATTTTTTACTGTTGTAGAATGGCAATAAGAAAATTAATTAAATGACTTTTTTGTTATTTGGTTATTTTGTCATGACAATAAAGTAATAAAAAACATGTATATTAGCAAAATAGTTGCATCTATATTTTTTAGTTTTTATTAGTTGTCTACTAAATAAAGACTCTGAAATACATTTGACAACTTCTTAAACACAATTGATAACATCTAAAATAGAGTTTATGTTTTATAATTTTAAAATGACAACTTCTGAGTTCTTATTAACGCTTTCTTAAATACAATTTACAAATCTGAAATACAATTGATACATTCTAAAATAAAATTGATTAATCTTAAATGGAACTGATATTGTCTAAAATACAATTTACTAATCTGAAATTTAATTGATGCTTTCTTATATACACTTGGATAATTTAAAATTAAATTAATACTTTCTGAAATATATTTTCTTAATCTGAAGTACAATTGAACTTTTCTGAAATACAATGAAAAGGTGTAGAGCAATGCAACTCATATATCACTACACCAATTAGGAACTTTTCGGAACTTTTTGATCTTGAACATTTACACAACTTGACATAAAAGTTTTTTTAACCGCGATAATAACTCCTCCTCCACGTTGGAATCTACTTGTAGACGTGTTCCTATCCGTTCTATATATGTTAATAATGTTAGATTAAGTTCCTCGGTAAGAATGGCACTATTTAACCATGTCTCGGTAAAACAAATAACATCAAAATTTGTAGACGTAACAGTTTTTAAAAGTTTTGGTAATTTTGTTTTTAAACCTCTAACATTTTGATAATAAATCGTTATGTTACTTTTAAAAACATTGTTAGCAGGCTTTACGTGGGTGGCTTGGCTTTGGCCCTTGGGTGAAAAAACCTAGCAATGTACGTTCCTTCGGGCCAAAATTCTGGATTTATGGTTTTTTCATAATTGGAAAGATTAACAGTCAATCCAAATGATGCATAGTGTTCCGGATACTTGGATTCTACTACATCAGAGGATATTTCCGGGACAGTATCTTTTAAATAATTAATTAAATCCTACTTGTAGTCTTGGGGTCTAGTCTAGACACATATACGAATAATTTTTTTTGGCACAACCTTTAGAGAACACTTGATGAGATCTTTTAAGTTGCCCACAACACCAGTCTTATTGTTTTTAGGTTGTTTTTTTAACATCTGACCATTGAGAATTGCCATAATCGAATAAAGCAATTATTAGTTATTGATAAATCTAGTTAATTGTTAATAAACTGTTCTCTCAGTGTGATTAATAATGGTTTAGGTAGCTTAAATGAAGCCAAACTGTGTTAAAACGCAACTTTTAAGTGCATTTTCAATATATTCAATATATTTTTTTATTTTTTGTTCATAATTCATTACTATCTTAATAAAGGTACGTGTGCTTTGGGTTCGGTTCGACAAAATTAAGTTAGCCCCGATTCATTAACTGCAGCTGCGTTGGAAGAACATAAAAAGAAATATTACCGTTTTCTTTTCAGTTTTGCAATGTCTTAAGTATTGAAGTTTTAACATAAATCACACAATAAAATATTAGGATCAAATTGTTAACGTTTTAATTAGTAAAATTAACATAATAGTACAGTTCAATAGCATAAATAATCAATATTTAATTAAGACTTCGTCTAAAAACCTTTCCTTCATCGGCACACTTAGTGGTAATACAATGCCTAACCATTCTGGGTAGTACATTGCAATTCTTAGATACGCAAGCAACGATATCTTCTATAATATTCTTGTCCAAAGGTTTCTTAGTGGTTTTCCCTGAATTTAAAAATGCAGGGCTAGGGCGTCCTGATAATGAAGAATTGGCAAGAACGTCTCTGGAGAAATAAGCTTCCAGTAATTGCCTTGTGGCTTTGGTGTAGTTGCCCCACTTAATAGTTTTGTATTGCTGTTCAACCATTTGGGTTCCGTTGGATCCTATTTCTATTACTTCCATGGATTGTAATCTACGTTTTTTGGATTGTTGTTCTTCAGGTACTGCTACCGGAGCTTCATCTTTTGGGACCAATTGACTTGGGTTATAGTAAGTTAGTCTTTTTTGTTTTCGACAAACTCACTCCTTGGTTCCTGACATTTTAATTGGCTTTCATTATCTGATTCTAATACTTCTTCTTTAATTGACTCATCCAAATCGATAACCAAAACATCACTGCTACTATCTATACTATTTGGAGTAAAACAAGCAGTACTTGCCACATTAAAATCTTCTTTGGGAATTTTTACTATTGTTACATTACTTCTAGACCTTTCTTCGTAAAGTAAAACTGATTCAGCTTTTTTCAGTAACTCACTTGAACTAATTTCGTATTGTTGTTTAAAAAAATTTAGTTTAAGCAATTGATTTTGCATTGCTACCTCTGAATCGTGTAGATGCAGCAAAACGAAGTTCCTTTCTTGCTTAATTTGTTCGTAGATCTTTCTTAAATCGGATGCTTCAATGGAACTCATGCTGAACGAGAGGTGGGTACAAGTTGGGTTGATTTTAATTTTAGTTTAGTGTGTTTAATATTTATATTCGTAAAACGAGCATACCTCTATTAGTACCTGTCAGTTGTTTGTCTGATATTTATGTATATAATTCCAATTGTTTATTGGCTTTGATAAAATTATTAAAACAGGTAGGTAAACCAAACAAAGTAATGTATTTTTTCAAATATTTTACAAACAATTGTACAACATATGGTCATAAATAATTAGTTTTATTTAAACTTTAAGCAACTTTTTAATATAAATATATATTCTTTCAATTTATATAATTATTTAAGTAAACAACTAACACTTTATCACTGGATTTAAAAGAGTGTGTTGACAAAAAAGTGTGCTAATTAAAGACAAAAATAATATAATAATAATAATAATAATAATGGGTCTTTATTTTTTAATTAGTACATACAAGATATTTATAATTAAACAAAAAAAAAACAAAAATTAATAAATCCTAAATGTACATATCTAAAAGAAAAAATGCCGAAGATCAGTATCGAGTACAAAAGTGTACTCTTACTGTTATTAACAGTAAAGCAAATTTAACCGGTATACATACAGTTCAATTTGTATAGAAATAAATAACTAGATTTTTTTAAATAAAAATAATACTTAAAAATTGTACTAAACTAAATAATAAACTCTTTAATTTAAGTTCTATTTTATTTTATTGGAATAAATATTTATTGATAATGTGATCTTGGGCCACTTTGCAACCCATTTTTATTGACCCCTCAAAGCGCTTTTTATGATATTTTTCCTTTTCCCCTTAAAACACTGTTTAATTATGTTGGATTTATGTAAGGCGCATTTCACAAGTTTGTTCCATAATAATAATTATTATTATTTATTAAATATAATTATAATAAACAAGTATATTATGTAGGTGTCAATTTTGATAAACGCCATTTTAGTCGATAATTTAATTTAGGCACGAGCGTAATGCCAGCGAAAAAGTGACAGTTGTATTTATTGGAATTCCCGTTTGAACTTCTAACTTGATAATCTACCGGCGTTAAAATCTCAAATTTTTCTGTGTAAATCAAGATTTATCCATTGAAAGTGAACTAACAATCAATATAAATAGTACAGTAAAATAGAAGCGAATGTTTTATGGGCCCTGTACGCAAAATTTTAAACGCTTTATCTGTTAAATTTATTTAACTCCACTTATACGGCGAAATTTAAAGATCAGTAATAACGCTCATATAATCTTTTTAAATATTGGCGGCAAGAAACCATTTAATAGTTTTGTATTATTTTATTGAGATAATAAAATAATTTTTACATTTAGTATTATTTTACAAGAAATGCACTTTATTTTAACGATTTTATGACATTTGACAACTATCAACTAAGTTAAAACTAACTTCAACCTTTGACTAAAAACCTTTTGCCAACTTCAGCCCCTGACTAAAGCACCATAAAGCCACAACTTGTCAATGTGTATTTAAAAGGTTACTAAGTGTCATAAAAACATGTACGATAATGGGCGTTTCAAAGGTGGGAGTAGAAAAACATATTTATAATCTACTACTTTTTCAAAGAGATTAAAAAATGTACTTAACTACAATCATATATTTATTTAAATAAAACTTTAATTTTCCCCTAGAATCCATTTTACAACATATCGCGACCTGAGAATTAGATTGTTCTATCTCCCAAAATTTTAAGAGGAACAAATAGCAGTTTAAAGTTTAATTTATATACAAATGAAATTTTAAAAAGCTGTTTTTGCGTGTTTAGGTTTTGGGAGATTCTATCTTTTAAAAATCTGACACGGAAAAACAGCTTTTTAAAATTTCATTTGTATATAAATTAAACTTTAAACTGCTATTTGTTTCTCTTTAAATTTTGGGAGATAGAACAATCTAATTCTCAGGTCGCGATATATATTTGTCAAAAGTGCATTTCTAACATATGTTTTTGGGTTATGTAATAATTCATTAATATATGTTTTAATACAAATTCGCCACCTATAATCGACGATACGTAGTATAGTAATATAATTAATCTATATTAAAGTATGAGGTAAGTGTGCTTTTGGTTCCGTTCCGTTCGAAAAAATTAAATTAAAGTAGCCCCGATTTATTAAAAGCAGCTGCTTTGGAATTACGTTGGGAGAACATGAAAAGAAATATTACCGTTTTTATGTTTTCAACTTTTGCAGTTTTGCTTCCTTCTCTTACGATAGTATTGAAGTTTTAAAATAACATTAGGATAAAATTGTAAACGTTTTAATAAGTAAAATTAACATAATAGTACAGGTCAATAGCATAAAAATGTATTTCAATAGCGTAAATAATATTTAATTAAGACTTCGCCTAAAAAGCTTTCCTTCGTCAGCACACTTAGTGGTAATACAGTGCCTAACCATTCTGGGTAGTACATTGCAATTCTTAGTCACACAAGCAACGATATCTTCTATAATATTCTTGTCCAAAGGTTTCTTGGTGGCCTTTCCTGAATTTAAAAATGCAGGACTAGGGCGTCCTGATAATGAAGAATTAGCAAGCACGTCTCTGGTGAAAAACGCTTCCAGTAATTGCCTTGTGGCTTTGGTGTAGTTGCCCCACTTAATAGTTTTGTATTCCTGTCCATCCATTTGGGTTCCGTTGGATCCTATTTTTATTACTTCCATGGTTTGTAACCTACGTTTTTTGGATGGTTGTTCTTCAGGTACTGCTACTGGAGTTGCATCTTTTGGGACCAATTGATAGTACGATAAGAAGTCATTTTTGTTTTCGACAAACTCACTCCTTGGTTCCTGATATTTTGATTGGCTTTTATCTGATTCTAATACTATAACTTCTTCTTTAATTGACTCGTCCAAATCAATAACCAAAACACCATTGCCACTATCTATACTATTAGGAGTAAAACAAGCAGTACTGGCCACATTAAAATCTTCTTTGGGAATTGTTACTATTGTTAAATTACTTCTAGACCTTTCTTCGGAAAGTAAAACAGATTCAGCTTTTTTCAGTAACTTACTTGAAGTAATTTCGTATTGTTGTTTTAAAAAATTTAGTGTAAGCAATTGATTTTGCAGTGCTACCTCTGAATTATGTAGATTCAGCAGAACGAAGTTTCTTTCTTGCTGCATTTCTTCGTAGATTTTCCTTAAATCGGATGCTTCAATGGAACTCATGTTGAATGTTAGTTGGGTGCAAGTTGACTTGATTTTAATTTTAGTTTGGTGTCTTTATTATTTATATTTGCGAAACAAGTACCTTAATTACTACCTATCAGTTGTTTATAGTAATTCTAATCGTTTATTTAATCCCACTTAACTTTAATAAAATTATTGGAACAGGTAGGTATACCAAACAAAGAAGGTATTTTTTGAAATATTCTAATTGAATTCATTTATGATTTAAAGTTATATTTATAACAATGGAAATAAATATAATATATAATAAATTTAGAGTAATGTTTTGGCAGTATAAATTTTGTTAAAAATAGTATTAGATTTTCTTCTGGGATTAATTGAAATAAAGTAAACAATTGACATAGAAAAAGTATGTGGATTTAACAAAATACTAGCTAATTATATTATATATTTGTATATAAATAAATAACAGGATTTGTTTTTAATAAATATTTTTTTAAAGTGTATAACAATTTTCATATAGGTAAGCCTAAAGAATTCATATTTGTACGCAGTTCAAAAGTCAAATAATTATATACCGCTGTACATATAATAATAAAATACATTGAAATTACATAGGAAGAGTGGTTCCATCTAATAGCGTTTAGCTCAAATTTTGCCAAAAAAATTTAAACTTACAGGTCACTGAAGAATAAATTTATCTACATAACCTATAATATAACATATTTCAAAGGTCAAACCTGACAAAATTTCTCAAACTCGATAATTTGAATCTAAGTCCTTACAGAATTATTAAATGCTGAAAAAAATGGTATTTGTATACAACACAGCGGAGAAAGCATATCGATGGTTATTTGACAAAACATCGTCAGCGACAAAACCTAAATTTTACAGGAGAAATTTTTTTTGTGTGTGTTATTTATCTGAAAACTGGTAAGGCATTATTTTATTAATGTAGAATTCAAATATTTAAGTAAGATAGAATCCATCCTAAAATTTTCATTACATTTTGTGGCATACGATATTTTATTTATAAGAACATCTTCAGGAAAATGTAAAATTAGTCTTGTCGCTTAAGTTACATTTACGTTACTTTGTGGGATATATATTTGATGATTACTTTTGTCAAAACATCTTTAGCGACATTTTTTTTTTATTATTATTAAATAAAGAAAAATACAAAAAAATTAATTTATAAAATATCTCCAGCGATATTTTGCCAAACAATGTTTGAAAATGAAATTCTACATTAGCTTTCTTTAAAAAAAAACGAACGATTTTTATTAACAAACCAGTATCTAACCCATGGAGCCTACACAAGGAGCCCGAACTTAATAGGGGAAATTGAAAAAACCAGCAAATGTACAAATTAAGTTTCTTTTTTTCACCACCAGCGGCGCTGATTGTCGATGCTACAAATACAAATTAAACAATTGTTTCAGAATAAACGGAACACCAGGAAGATTCTTGTTTACATTATGTTCGGACTCCTTGTGTAGGCTCTATGATCTAACCCATGGTACCGTGATCTAACCGTTATAAATTTGAGTCAAATTATTTGACGCTATAACAACATACAATTACTACAAAAAAACACTTTTAACGAACCACACTAGGTAAAAACAATTATAATTAGGATAACTATTAATAATGCAATGAAAACAAAGGAATTATAAGCTTTTGATCAAATAAAATATTGTTTTAAAACTCCGTAGCAATCACCACCAGTGGCGGCTCGTGGGTGTACAGGAGGGTGAGGCTACATAATTATGTTAAGGTTAATTTTGTCTAAATACGAATAAATTTCCACGTCACCCGGGAGGTATTATACTGCGACGCGTTGACCTTTTTTAAAATGGAGCCGATAGCACTACTAAACCAAAAAATAAACTCTAAAAAACAAAACAAACAAAATATCACATCAAAGACTAGTTTTAATCCTAAACTTAAAAATATAGTCTTAAAAAAGTTAAAAATAAATAAATTAATCAAAAAATAAAAATAAAACTAAAAAGTCGACCCCTACCTAAGTATTAAAAAATATAAAATACTATACGTCTATCTTTTAAGATTGAAAATTTATCTATTATTTGGTCGTAAAATTGTGGATCTGCAGTGAGATTTAAAAGTAATTCTAAATTTTCAAACCGCGTCTCTAATTGAAGAATTATGCAATCTATTATTTCAAAATATAAAATTTGCTTAATAAAAACTGCTAAATCTACCTTAGTGTGTTCCTTACAATAATTAAATAAGAAATATTACTAATCGAGACAAAAACTATAAAAGATCAGCCAAAAGTTTTAAATAATTTAATCTAAATCAAAACAATAACGTGCTCTACAAACGCTAAGAGAAGACTGGCAACCTTCTTTGTTTCCGCTGGCATCCCACCATAAACGGACCACCAATCAGAACAAGCCAAGCTAACTAAATTTTGCCTCATCTACGGTGTTTATTCGCGAACTTACGGCGATATTTTTGTTGGTGAGTCATTTTCGCTTTCAAGAGGTAAATGGGAGCTTCCGAGGCTGTGAAAATTTCGCCTCTGTCTGGCGTCTCAACGATGCACGTTAACTTGACGCGCTTTGCGCCTGGATTTTTATTTACGCTTAATATGATTGATTGGTTTTTTACTTTTTATTGGGTAGAACTGTTGTAAAAATACACTTGTAATTGGCAAAAATATAAATAGAAACAGTCGTTCGTTCCTTCATTTTAAGGGTGAGGCGCGGCCTCAGAGGCCTACCCTGACAAGCCGCCACTGATCACCACGATGCTACACATACACATACACACGAATAAACTGTTTAGAGCGGGAATAACGCCTTGATAGATCAAGGCGGGAGCACAATGTTAAATCGCAAACGCCATGTCTTGGAGTTGCTTACGATTATTTGTCGGGAACATATAGACGCTTACGTTATAAATCGGTAACAAATTAAAAAGAAGAGGCGCTTACAATAATAAAAATATTTAAACTGACCAATATTAGATTCCAAAATTGGGATAACTATTATGTTAACATGTGCAGCTTATCGTAACTGACACTTTGATAAAATTAAAAGTAATTCAACAAAATTGTCGCTTAAGATGTTTTGTCAAATAACCATCGATATTAACTACCTTTCTCCGTTCTGCAGCCTCTGCTAATGCCTCGGCTTTAAATAAGCACTTTTTCCGCCTGTAAGATAATGTATTTATTATATTACAGTCATTAATAATACTTAGTAACTGTACTAAATTTTATTATAAAATCTTTAATTCTGGTTTTATTTTATTTGTTACTGTTTATTTAAACTGTTTAATTATGACTGCTTTTTTGTGGTTTAGTTTCCCTTTTAAAGCACTTTTTAATAATACTGGACGCCTTTGAAGCAATTTTGATTATGAAGTTTGTTCCATAATATTACGTTTTTAGAACTTTTTTAAAGAATGTGCTTGACAATAAATAAATTCTTATGGATAAATGACCATGGTCTCTGCAGAGATGTAAGTTTATATCATCTCATATATTTCTAGATTTCCTTTCACTATTTATATTGCTATGATTTTAAGATAAAAGACTTATTAGCGATTAGTGATTTATGTACCTTAAATAAAGTGTTATAACTTTTAAGTGTATTTCCAACATCTGTTTGCAGGTTTTGTTCATAATTCTTTAAATCAATTTAATCGTTAAAAAATCGCAGTGAAGTACATTCTAGAAGCGCAACTTTTAAATTTAAAATAAAATTTTAAGAGCTTTATATAAAAATACACTGTTAATTATTGGTTTTATAACAAGAAAATTGCTTACATTCATATGTTCAAAAGAACGCGTAGGTTTTGTACAAAGAAAAAGATGTCAATATAAATATATGCCCATACGCAATTGTATTTACACACTCCTAGTTCTTGTAATATTTTCGGGAAAGCACCCTTATTGCAATATCGAAATAGGTAAAAAACGTATTATTATCTGTGTTTGGGAAATGTTTGATGCAATTAACCAACATCATTTTTGCCCTTTTAGGCTTTTTTTAAATATGCCTAAAATGACTAAACCTTATTTTGGAATGACCGTTTTTTTGTAAAAGAATCGTTTTTTTTAATGCACGAAACAAAATGGTAAACTAAATCTCAACACACTCTACTCTGTAGTCTTGGAAATCTAAATACACGAAAGAGGCAAAAGCACGTGAAAGAAGTCCTTGAAGTGATTGTTAACAAATTCGATTAGGAAAATTTAAAAGCTGTCGAAAAGGTAAATTTTTTAATAATCCAAGTATAAAAAATGATTTAATATTTATAGCATCGAACTTTAAAAGTCTGCCCGAATCAATTAAACATTTAGAATCTAATAAACTCGCCATACTAGAATTATTGGATATAGGTATTATTTAAATTGTTTAAATGCATTAATTGAATTTCGCTAGTCATCGGAACCGAAATACAACAAAAATTAAAGTAGGTATTTTATTAATATTAACTAAATCGCAACACACTACAGTGCAGAGTCTACACGTGTTGGTACCAAAATGCAAAAATTAAAATAGGTTTTCGATAAAAATCCAAGGTAGGTATATATTTATTTAAAAAATGTTCAAAACCATTCCATTAAAATGTAGTAAATTATAATTATAAATACATTCACAGCAAAAAATTTGCCCGTGTAAATTTTCTAGAGTACCTGTTAAAAATATTAGAGTTAAAATCTAGGGTAAACGTATGCATTATTTTAACTCTAAAATCCAATCTTATCTATTTTTTATCTAGCTAACTCTTTTTTAACTGTAACTTTAGATTAAATATATTTTACATTATTTATTCATAAATTAAAGTACCTATCTATCTATAGATATTTTCACTAAATCAATTAAATTATAACTTTTGTAGAGTTATTTTTATATATTATATATGGACCAAAGTCCATATTTTAAAAATATAAAAAAATGCAAAAAATCTTAACATAAGGTTATAAACTTGTCAATTTGGAATTGATGAACATTGGGCATTTTTTAATAACTTTAACCTATACTAAATTTTATTTTAGCATT